TAACAATAATAATAATGTGATAACTATAAGAATGACCATAAATACTAACACCACGAACTGATAACAAAAGTCCTTGTTATTTCTACAAAACAATAAGCCTTATATTACAGGGAGCAAGGTTAAGATTTTGAATGCAAATTACCTACAAATGAACTACTGTACGGTTTTGTGTACTCTATGGCTGAAAATAAATCGATACTACTACTGAATCAATAGCTCTGAAAATAAAAAACACTACACAAAAATTATTGGAAAAGGCGTCTCACTTTCCAATAGTCTTTTTTTTTTTTTTTTTTTTTTTGCTCAAGGCACCCTATAATTGCATTACTTTGACATTATAATGACATCTGCATGTCAATAAATCTCTATGCACATCTACTCAGCTCTACTACTGCTCTTTGGCATTTTATACCTACATTGTCTTTTACTAGTTTTTTTGGGGGGAGAATATATGCAGGCATTTGTTCAACCTGCACGCAAGATCTGCATTTTCATTTTGGTAATCAATATCCCTCGCGGTTGGAAAAAAGACTCCAAATGGTGTTTCTTTTGTCTATCAGTTTCACATTCTAGTGTACCTTTATCTATTGACAAATCATAAAAATTCTTTTGCGAAACCAAAACCCAATACACATATCTTTTTTTACCGTGATAAAAGAAAAAGTGTTTATCGAAACGGAGGAGAATAATAGTAGCAGTAATAACAATAGTAAAAATAATGTCAATAACAAGAACAATAATATTTGTAATGATAATATTAACAATAACAATGACGACAATAAGTATTACTAAGGTGTCCCTTCTGCACCCCAGGAAAAAATCGTAAGCCTCTGTCTTCGCGAGATTCCTACTCTTTCTTGATCCCGTTACTCATCTGGGACTCATCCTCCGATTCCTCTTCGCCCGACGACCGGACATCCTGCAATGTTCCCGCACGGAGCTTCCTGACCACAATGCTGAGGATGATCCACGTCCATCCCAGGTTGAGGATGAGGAGGCCCACCAGGAGCCCCATGAAGAGGTAGGCTGAGGGCATGAACATGAAGGTGGTGGCCTCGAAGAAGACGCTGTACATGATCCACAGAGGGAAGACGCAGCAGCGGGTCGCCAGCCACAGGATGACGAACACCGCGAACATCACATCGGTCAGTCTGTCGATGCCTGCGTGCTTGAATATCTTGGCGGCCTGGAGGGGGACGTCGGCGCACTCGTGGACTACGAGAACCAGCGTCCCAACGCGGACGAAGTTGCATGTCCACGAGAACACCATCAGGAGGATCGTGAACAAATGGTGAGACATCATCTGAACCTTGTCGGAGATTCTGTGGGCCGGCTTGGGTATCTGGATAATGGTTGTGGACCAGAAGTAAGCCAGGCACAGCATGTAGTACCACCAGACGTCGGTGCTGATGCTGTGGTGTGGATAATCCCTCCAGCATAGTGTGATGTTCCACAACCAGGGTTTCGAGACCATGACAACGAAGCCGAAAATACACATGAACGTGTGACAAGAAAAGTCATAAGCGCAGTCCATGAACTTCTCGTACTTGGTTGACTTTGTCACGGCGTGCTTTCGGTTCAGCCACCTCTGCACCTGGCGAGGGGACAACTTATTGGCTTCCGAGGTCTCCACGATCACCTGCGCGGGAACCTTGGTCTGGTAGCGTCGATAGAGGGCCTCGAGGGCGGCGTCGAAGGCCGGAGGGGCCGGGCGCCAGTCGGAGACGCCCATGCTGCGCGCCAGGGGCCGGAACAGACGGGGCTCCAGGAACGAGAAGCGGAACAGCATCAAACACAAGCCAAAGGCAGGAGGGTAGATCCACACGTCGGAAAAAACCGGGAAGTGGAAGCTATCAGTGGAACGGAGGTCATCCCAAGTCACGCCCAGGGGTAACCAGAAGTCTGGCTGCCAGAGGGTGGCAGACAAACGCCCCCACAAATCGTTTATCTGAAATACCAAAAGCTCTTAGGGAATGATAACCTCACTAGACGGTCTATGTATCATTCACTCTGACGGTGCAATTATCAGTACTGCAGACAAATCGTTACAATTAATCTATTTTTACCAAAGTCAGTAGCGTGTGCGTTTGATTACTCTCTATATCCAACTTCGAATTTGAATTATTAACAGACAACAAAACTTACTCTAGACAAAAAGCACATCCACAAGCCAACTAAAACGTGTCAGACGGCAAAAAAAAAAAGGGTCTTACGAGATGTCCAAAAAGATTGCAAACTATTGGCAGAACGTTGCCGCGCCCTTCCAATCGAAGACGGCAAGTGCGGTTGAGATGAGCGGTCGTCTCTGAAGAAGATTCGGGTCAAGAACCGAAGTCTTTCCTCCAACAAGCGACTGCAAAGGGCGGTCCTTACAGCCACTTCCGGTGCGGTCGAAAGCGTGAGGACTTAGGCTAAGGTCAGTGACAGTGGAGGAGGACCAGCCGTCAGCACGGAGGCATTCAGCATAAAAAATACGATCAAATGATGGGTCATACAGCATGTACTAATCAAATGCATATGTAAAAAGAAAGTTTATTGTTCTGTATGTATATACATATAATTTGATGCATGCTTTTGTGAACTTTACATTGTGAAGTAAGAATGTCACACACACACACATATGTGTGTTTATATAATATATATATATATATATATATATATATATATATATTATATACACATATAAATACACACACATACATATATATAAATATACATATATCCACATATATACACCTGTAATATTATATATATAATATCCATATATATATACATATAATATATATATACACATATATTACATATATATCATATAAATATTTTATATATATATATATATATATATATATATACACATATACATATATACATATATACATTTTATATATATATATATATAAAAACATGCGCACATTCTCCATACGCACTGGTATTACGGTCTTTTTCATAACATCCTTAAACCAAATCCTTGCCACCAGCACAGTCTCCGCCCAGGCACCCACACACGCCCTCACCACACGCAACGCCCTCACCACACACAGCGCCCTCACCACACACAGCGCCCTCACCACACGCAGCGCCCTCACCGCACACAATAAGGGCTGCGATGCTCCTCTGCAGAGTCGGGGGCGGACGGGCGGCCGGACGTGTTGTTGCAGCCACCTCATCCCTGGCGCAGTCCGTGTCCGCATCGGCGACCGTGTCCGCATTCCGAATTCTGCTCGATTTATTTCGCGTTCGGATCTTTTACCTTCTCTCTGTCTTTACTTTATCTCTATATCTCTTTTTTCTGTATCTGTCTATCTGTCTGTCTGTCTCTTTCCCAGTCCTTTCTCTCTCTCTCTTATACAGTCTCTCTCTCTCTTTCTCTCTTATCCCTCTCTCTCTCTCTCTCTCTCTCTCTCTCTCCAGTCTCGTCTCTCTCTCTCTCTCTCCTTCATCATACCATTCGCTGCCTTTTTTAAGGTGTCCTGGGCAGTCGTCATGGTTTCCCGATAATGGCTGATCCCGACCCACACTCACTCACTCAACTCGTTCCTGGCGTGTGTGGCCTCGCAGTCTGCTTGCCCTCGTACGCACACATTCGCAGACGCATATTTATGTAGGTGGATACATTGAAAGAGAAAAGGTGAAATAAAGGAAAAGGGTAAAGAGGAAGAGACAGAGTGAGAGAAAGAGAGAGAGTGAGAGTGCGAATGCTAGTGTGCGTGTGCGTGTAATGAGAGAGAGAGAGAGAGAGAGAGAGAGAGAGAGAGAGAGAGAGAGAGAGAGAGAGAGAGAGAGAGAGAGAGAGAGAGAGAGAGAGAGAGAGAGAGAGAGAGAGAGAGAGAGGGGGGGGGGGATCACTAGAAGAAAGAAAGACTGAAAGGTTTTATAAATCGTGATAATGAAACCTCTTGTGACTGGATGAGAGGGAGGGGAGAGGGGAATGGAACAGGGTGACCTTCTAACTCACGAAAACAAACGCACTCACTCACACACACACACTGACACACTCTCTCTCTCTCTCTCTCTCTCTCACACACACACACACACTGACACACTCTCTCTCTCTCTCTCTCTCACACACACACACACACTCACACACACTGACACTCTCTCTCTCTCTCTCACACACACACACACATTCACTCACACACCATCTGACACTCTCTCTCTCTCTCTCTCTTACACACACACACACATTCACTCACACACATACACACTCACTTTCTCCACCAGCCTTCACAACACAACGGGCTTGTCGGTCATTCAGATTTCTACTCAGCCAAAATAGACACAAAAATCTCAGGAGTATAGTGCCTTTAGTAACCCTGGAGTAAGTGTGTTTGTAAGAAAGCTTGAGTGACTGGGTGAGTGAGTGAGTTGAGAGTGAATGTTTGAGTGTGAAAGCGCTTTTTGAGTAAGCGAGAGAGTGCCTGAGTGAGTGAGTGAATGAGTGAAAGAATAGAAAGTGAGAGAAATGGGAGAGAAAGTGAGTGATTGGAAGAATGAATGAATGAGCTAGCGAGTGAATGAGTGTTTGAGTGAGTTCTCCACGTCAGTCCTTACTATCCTTATTCATGTAAATATTTTTCATTTATTTTCATTTCATATTGATTTCGTCATTTTTCACTTTTAACCAAGGATTGTACTTTATATCTTTCTTCTTTTTTGTGCAGGTATGTGCATGGGGTGGGGGTAAGGTAGAGGAAGGGGGAGAGGGAAAAGAAAGGGATGAAGGAGAGAAAGGCGAGAAGAGGAGGGAAGGAATGAGGGAGAGAGGGAAAGAGGAAGGAAGGAAGGGAGAGGTGGGAGAGAACTAATAGGGAGGGAAGGAAGGGGAGCTACAGGTTTGGAGTGGGAAGGCGGAGGGGGGAGGAGATGGGAGGGAGAGAGGGGGAGAGGGAGGGAGAGAGGGAGGGAGGGAGGGAGGGAGGAGAGAAGGAGATGAAGGGAAGGAGAGAGAGAGAGAGGGGGAGTATAAGGGGGAAAGGAGGAAGGAAGGGAGAGGAGAGAAAAGAGAAAATGACTTCTCAAAGTCCATGCACAGAGAATCAACCAGAGTTTCTTTTTTCCTGAATGGAATAACTTTTGAGCTTGGTAAATAAACAAAACAAAGAGACAAAGAGCTTCCTTTATTAATAAAAAATCTATAAATTTGTTAACATGGCATAACAATGCACAATGCGTAACTACCAACCAAAGTCAATATAAATTTACTCTAACATACGCTATGAGTTTGTGCTATTTTCCCTCTGCATTCGGACTGGAAACAAAATCTAATGACTGGAAGATTTAGCCTCCGCCATACAGTGGTGAGCCATTTTTCAGTTGACTGACTGACTGACTTACTGACCGACCGACCCTAGTGACTGACTGACCGACCCTAGTGACTGACTGATTGTTTGATTGATGTCTGATTAAATGATTGATTGACTGGACGAGTGGCTGATCATTTACCCTTTCCAGGCGTTCAAGCATCAAAGATCATTGTCGGTATTTAGTGTACCTACCAAATACACTACTTAACGTAATTATAGGCCTAAATAGGAGGTCTATCCTTAACGACTATTAGGTGGGATCATCTATCACGTGCTTCCACTTTCCCTTACAATGATGGCAGTGTATTCTAAGATAATTTGAAGAATACTAATAGCAATGGTTTAGTGTATGGTCTCCGTGACCGAAAAAAGTGTAGGACAACCAAGTGATGGGGGGGGAGGGGGAAGGGTGCTAAGAGAGATAAGGTCTAAGGTCTGGAGATTGGTTAAAACTCACAAGAACATATCTCGTTCCATAGTAACATGCCACCATGTTCGCTACCTTTTTTTCACTAACTGATCATCCCATAGTGAATGAAAAACAAGGATGATAAAGAAGTAAAAGTACACAAGGAGAGAAGTGACAACGAAAGTCCCATCTCCACACTAGCAATCCTATCATTAACAAGCCATCCGATGATTGGAGATATCTGGCCCCGCCCCCAGTCACGGGAGAATCATGGCTCACAACAGTACCCGCGGCGGATCATGCACGGAATGCTCATGACCGGAAAGCTAAAAGAGGAGGGGGAAAAAATGCATGGGGAGGGTAATACCCCCGTTCCACACATCCCTTCTACCTCCCGTTCTCAAGCGTTCCTGCCAATCTTGAACGGCTTTTTTTTTTAAGATTATTGCGCTTGATAAAAAAACAAAAACAAAAACAAAAAAATGAAAGGCAATGTGAACTGAGTGGTAATGGAGCTTTTATAACAATGGTCGGAACGTTCAGGGAAAGGTAATGGAACGGTTTGGACGGTATTGGTACAGGTTGGGACAGTGTCAGGACGCTATTACAAAGGTACCAGAATGCTACCTGGACGTTCGACATTGGAACGGCTCAGGACATTGCAGGATCGGTATGAGAAGGGTTGGGAACGGTATGAGGGCGGGATGAATTTTGGCAGCCGTTCACTACCAATCCGTTAGCGTTGCGTTATCGTTGCTTACGTTCCGTTAACGATCCGTCAATTCGTTTCCCAATGTGTTAAGGATTCATTACCATTCACTTTGAACGGGAGAGGAATGGCTAAAATTTTGAACATGCAGCCCGAACTCAGACGTCCCAATCGTTCCTGCCGTTCAAAGGAGTTCCATTAACGTCCACTGGCGTTCCATTCAGACTCCGTTAGGGACCCCTCCCGACCCTCCCCCCCCCGTCCCTTGATCGAAACGGGCACGGGAGCTAAACGGACGTGTGGAATGGGGGTATAATTTTGACAGCCTTCCAACACGAAAAAAAAATATACCACACAAGACGGCATCACCCACGCACATTCGCTCTAAGGCTCTCTCCCACAGTTGAAAACTCACATTTGGCGAAGCCGAACCACTAATGTATCTTTCTTTTTACATTACTTTGGGGTTTCCTGTGGACTAGCTTATTTGCTGAATGCTCTTCACATGACACACACACAAAGTTGGGAACATCATTTCCCAGATTAAGAATATGTTCACAGCCCCTAGGTACTGGTAGACTGATAACCTAACAATATGGCACAAATAACTACGCAACTACGCAGTGGAATGTGACTGCTTTGGTTCTCTTTGGTTCCAGCGTGAGTGAAAGAAGCATAAAACAGCAGAATATGACTAAAACCCCAGAGGTTACTGGCCCTTCTTGGTGGCCCGCTCGTCTTCGTCAGCCGAGGCGTCCGAGGAGGAGCGGAGGTCCTCCAATTTGTGGTCCAGGAGCTTCGTGACGAGAATCCTGAGGATGAGGTACGTCCAAACGACGTGGATCAAGAACAGCGTGAGCATCATCCCGTTGAAGATGTAATAGACGGGGATGAGCTCCACATCGAGAATCACGTGGGCCTCAAAGAGCGAGTTGTTGAGGATCCACACAGGGAAGAGTCCGGTCCTTGTGCTCAGCCACAGCAGCACGAACACCACGAAGAATTTGTCCATCAAGTCCCGCCGCCCGAACAGCTTGCTCATCTTGGCGAGCAACATGGGGATGTCGGCGCACTCGTGG